AAAAAAAAAAAAAAAAAAAAACAATATAAACACAGGGCAGTATGTTCTGGCATAGCGAATATTTGTAAACCTTTTTCTAAGAAAAATGTGGTACATCCATTCACTGAAGGTAGCTTAAGGCAAGAAAATTCTTCATTTCCCATGTTAATAGTTCTACATTTTCTAAGCAGTCCAGTTATCGATATTGTTGTATCATTATTAAAGATTATGTAAGACCTACAACATAAGTGATAGAAGCCTTGTTTGAAAAAATGATGTGGAATAGCCCACATTTTAGTTTGTAATCACTGAAGCTACTACAGATGGATTTTCAATTTGATAGCTGAATTCTGAAAATTTCAAGAGAAAAAGGAAAAAGAAAACAGAGAATGAATGCAATAAAATAAACAGAAAATCACTACTGTATTTCCAGTTGTAATGTGGAACTCCCAGGCTGTGCTAGGTTGAACTGCATTTGCACGCAGAGAATTTGCCAAATTGTGTGCTTTAATGCATACATTTGTTTGCAACCAGGAAAGTCCTATTACAGAGCCAAAGGAATAAACGTATACAATCTGTTTTCCATCACGGATCTCAAGTCAAAACGTGCATTTCTTGCTTCTGCTGGCAAGTAACCTTATCAGTCTCTTCCATAACCTCTATTCAAATCTCTTTTGAATGGATGTTGTACATGAAAACAAGGTATTTTTGGAACAAAGAACATGGGCTGTGACTACAGGACACAGACGGCCAAGCTCATTCCCACGGACACTTGCTAAAGCTGTAAGTATATGCCCAGGTGATAAAGAGTTCCCGGCTTTCGAAGGAGTTTAAAGAAAGAAGAAAGGAGATATACATGCAAATTCCACTATTCTCATTTTATATAGCAATACAAATGTTCATTGGACTAAGAAAGAAATACCTTTTAATTTACAGTACTGATTTAATCTAAACTTCATTTGCCAAAGCAAACCATGAAATATTTGTACATTTCAGTTTCACTTTACCGTGGGCCCTAATCTACCTTAGGCCCTGTCTTTGATCTACCTATGAGATCAGTTGTATTCATATTCTCTATTAACTAAAAAACCTGGTCTGTGTCCTGTAAGTCTCAAACACCCTGATGGATGTTGTGAAGAAAACAGGAACCAAAGTGATCTGAGTGTAAGCAGACAGGCTGGAAAATGCTGCTGTTTACTTGCCTTCCAGTGTTTTCTAATCTGTATGAAAACCTTCTGTTAGTATTTGTACTGACTCACACAACTCTATGGTTTAAATTATATCCACACTCTCTATAAGCACCTTCAGGTTTCTGTGTTAGTGTTTTAAGTTCAAAAAAGAAAACTGGAAATCCTGTGGATATTTTAAGTTAGAGGAAGT